CAATTTCAAATCAGCTTTCTCACTATAAAGAGCTTTTGTTGCGTGGTGTATTTTCACCAAAGGAGAATCTTGATTTAATACTTCAGCCTTTCAGATCTGAATAAACAACCTGAGGAATAGCTCTATGCACTAACAGTAATTCTGGTCCTTTGCAGAATTAGAGCGGGTGCATAGGGGTTTTTTTTAAATCTGCTTCAAAGTTATGAAAGTGATAGATTTGGACAGGTTCAGTGAGTGAACAACTGCATGGCAGATGAAGTGAAATGTGGATAGAATGGAGTACTATGTACAATTTTGGTCTCCTTATCTGAGGAGGATGTTCTGACTGTAGGGGGAGTGCAAAATAGATTAACCAAACTGATTCCAAGGTTGGAAAGACAGATGTATTGACAGACACTGGATCAGTTAGAACTATATTCACTGGAGTTTAGAAGAACAAGGGGGATATCACATTGAAACTTATAAAATTCTAACAGGACCAGACAGGGAAAGCACAGGATGAATGTTCCTGATGGCCAGGTAGTCCAGAACCAGGGGCTCACAGTCTAAGGATATGGAGTAGGCCATTTAGGACCGAGATTAAGAGAAATCTCTTCATCCTGACAATGGTGAGCCTGTGGAATTTTCTGCCACAGAAAGCAGTTGAGGCTAAAACATTGAATGTTTTCAAGAAGGAGTTAGGTATAATTGTTTGGGCTAAAGAGATCAAAGGGTATGGGAAGAAAGCAAAATAATGTGAATGCTGGAAATATGACATAATCTGATCTCTGTAGCTCCTGTAGCAGAGTGAAACATTAACTCTATTTCTCTCTTTATAGATGCTGCCAGGCCTGCTGAGTTTCTCCAGCAATTTCTGTGTTTATTTTAGTGGCTCTAAGTCCAGACTATCCAACCTTCCCTGATGAGACATCATCCCCAATCCGGATAATAAACCTTCTCCAAACTACCTTCAATGTATTTATGTCATTCCTTCAATAAGAACATAAGAACATAAGAAACAGGAGCAGAAGTAGGCCATCCGGCCCCTCGAGCCTGCCCTGCCATTCAATAAGATCATGGCTGATCTTTTCACAGACTCAGCTCCACTTACCCGCCCGCTCACCATAACCCTTAATGCCTGTACTGTTCAAAAATCTATCTATCTTTGCCTTAAAAGCATTCAACGAGGTAGCTTCAACTGCTTCACTGGGCAGGGAGTTCCACAGTTTCACAACTCTTTGGGTGAAGAAGTTTCTCCTCAACTCAGTCCTAAATCTGCTCCCCCTTATTTTGAGGCTATGCCCCCTAGTTCTAGTTTCACCTGCCAGTGGAAACAACCTCCCTGTTTCTATTTTATCTGTTCCCTTCATAATTTTGTATGTTTCTATAAGATCCCCCCTCATTCTTCTAAATTCCAATAAGTATAGTCCCAGTCTACTCATAATCTCTCCTCATAAGCCAACTGTCTTGACTCTGGAATCAACCTAGTGAACCTTCTCTGCACCCCCTCCAGTACCAATACCTCCTTTCTCAAGTAAGGTGACCAATGCTGTGCATAGCACTCCAAATGTGGTGTCACCAGTGTCCCAAATAACTGATGCATAACCTCCCTACTTTTGTGTTCAGTTCCCTTCGCAATTATATCCCTCCTTTCAGCCAATGCAGTACTACTAAAGTGTTACCGTTGTATGTCATTGACCAGAAAGTGAACTGGACCAGTTGTATAAATGCTGTGAGTAATGGTAGGTCCAAGGCTAGGAATCCTGCATGAGGAAGTTATCTGCTAATTCCCCAAAGCCTGTCCACCATCTACAAGGAACAGTCAAGGGTGTGCTGGAATACTCTCCACTTGCCTGAGTAATTGCTGTTCCACAAATGTCAAGAAACCGAACACCATCAAGGACAAAGCAGCCCACTTCATTGGCATCTCATCCACCAACTTCAACATTCACTCCCTCACCATCGACACACAGCAGGAGCAGTGTGTACCATCTACTAGATGCACTGTAGCAACTCACCAAGGCTTCTTCAAAAGTACCTTCCAAACCCAAGGTCTCTTCCATCTAGGGCGAAGGCAGCAGACACATGGGATAACCTCCTGCTAGTTTCCCTCCAAGCCACTCACCATTCCATTTAGCACAGGAGATGGTGCAGAAGAGATTTACCAGGATGTTGCCTGAGCCGGGGATTTTCAGTTCTGAAGAGAGATTGGACAGATTGGGGTTGATTTCCTTAGAGCAGAGGAGATTGAGAGGGGAAATGATTGGGATGTATAAAATTAAGAGGGGTATAGATAGGGTGGACAGGAAGAAACCTTTCCTTTTGATGGAAGGATCAATGACCAGGGGGCGTAGATTTAAGGCAGAGAGTTTAGAGTAGATGTGAGGAAAACATTTTCAGCCAGATGGTATTGGGAATCTGGAACTCACTGCCTATTAGGGTGTTAGAGGCAGAAACCCTCAGAACATTTCAGAAGTATTTAGATGTGCACTAGTGATGCCAGATATAAAGGCTATGGGCCCAGTGCTGCAAAATGGGATTAGAATAGTTAGGTGGTTGTTTTTGACTGGCATGGGCTGAAGAGCCTTTTCCTCTATTGCAGATCTCTATGGGTCTATGACTGTGTGACTTCCCTCAGTGTTGCTTGGTCAAAATCATGAAACATCCTCCTTACAGCAGAATTAGTGTCACCACATCCCAAGGACTGCAGCAGTTGAAGATGCAGTCACCACCATCTTCTCAAGGGTAATTAGGGATGGGCAGTAAATATTCGCCCAGCTGGCAGCATTGACATTCTATGCATGAATCACAAAAAAAGCACAATGGCTAATTTGGGTAAAAGCACCAAGATATAAATGACCAGGTCCACTGTTTTCTTTCAGTGACGTTTTCTCATAGGATTATGTCAAGTATCAATTGCAAACACAAACCATTTGGTCTAATTGGACCTTGACAGCATTTAACTCCCATTCAGCCTTCTGCCATGTTTTCAAATTAGCATTTCAGCATTAACTCTCCATTCCTTTCTCCATGGCACAGTTGGTAACACTCTGGTATCTGTAACATACAGTTTGCAGTTTGAAAATCAAGTTTGATACTCAGTGCAGTAATGTAGGATTGCTGCACAGTTAGAAGTACCAACTTCCAGACAAGATAGTAAAACAAGACTCCATCTGTTATATAAGATAGTCAGTAACTGACAAGCTTAACTGCTATCATGAGGTAAGTGTAGCCCAGCAGGATATAAAGCTCTATTAAGGTTTTCGTGGAGCAGTTGTAGTGTCCATACCTCAGAGCCAGGAAGCCTGGGTTTAAATCCCACCTGATCCAGAGGTGTGAAGTAACAGCTCTGAACAGGTTGATTAGAAAAATAGGTTAAATAAAAATTTTATATATATATATCTATACCTATATATATCTATATATAATTTAAACTTGTCCATTACAACAATGACGACACTTCAAAAAATATTTCTTTGGCTATAAAACATGTTGAGACAGTAATCATGAAAAGCAGGAGAAATTCAAGTTGATTCAGAGATAGTGGGGACTGCCGATGCTGAAGAATCTGAGATAACAAGGTGCAGAGCTGGATGAACACAGCAGGCCAAGCAGCATCAGAGGAGCAGAAAGGCTGACGTTTTGGGTCTAGACCCTGATTCAGGAATCAGGGTCTAGACCCGAAACGTCAGCCTTTCTGCTCCTCTGATGCTGCTTGGCCTGCTGTGTTCATCCAGCTCTACACCTTGTTATCACAAATACAAGTTTTTCTTTATTTTCTTAAATGCATCCATAGTATTGACCTCAACTACTTCCACATCCTCACCACTCTCTGGGTAAAGGTGTTTCTTCTGAATGCCCTGTTTGATTTCTTGGAGCCTATCTTGTTGTTGAGGTTTACATATTAGCCAGAACACTGTGGTGAATACTCTTGCTTTTGTTAAAGAGCTCTGTAGAATCTTTAAGGAGGGGGCAGTCACCAGGGACCAGAGTTCGATTCCACCCTCGGGTGACTGTGTGGAGTTTGCACATTCTCCCCGTGTCTGTGTGGGTTTCCTCCGGGTGCTCCGGTTTCCTCCCACAATCCAAAGATGTGCAGGCTAGGTGGATTGGCCATGCTAAATTGCCCGTAGTGTTCAGGGATGTGTGGATTATAGGGGGATGGGTCTGGGTGGGATGCTCTGAGGGTCTGTGGACTTTTTTCCACACAGTAAGGATTCTATGATAATCTCAGTCCTGCACTGATGTAAAGGTAAAGTCACCCTAGTCCTACCAGATCATAGTGCTTTCCTCATTAGAGGGACAACTGGTAGTGGGTTTAACCTGCGGGTCACCACACTTCAGGTGAGGGGAGAGATTGAGAATTATTACCTCTGGAGCAGGTGAGATGTGAACCCAGGCCACCTGGTCCAGGGTAGAGACAGTACAACCGCACCACAAGAGGAACGGGGGGGGGGGGGGGGGGGGTAGGCCATTTGGTCCATCAAACAAGTTCTGCTCCAAGTCACTTACCATCCTGACTCGGAAATATATCACTGTTCCTTCACTGTCCCTGGGTCAAAATCCTGGAATTCTATCCCTAAGGGCATTGTGGGTCAACTGACAGCACGTGGATTGCAGCAGTTCAAGAAAGGAGCTCACCACCACCTTCTCAAGGGCAGCTAGGGACAGACAATAAATGCTAGCCAGCCAGCGACACCCACAAGTGAATAAAAAATGTCTGTTGTACCACTCATTGAGATTAGGGCTGATCTTTTACGGGGCATTAACTTCACTTTCCTGTCTCCACACCCCAACCCCCACCTGCCCCCAACTCCATAAACAATACAAAATCTGTCTCATTTAACCTTGAGTACATTCAAGGCAACAATGGTCACATTTCGAAAGTACGTGATTGGATGTAAAGGCCGCTTTTGAGGTCGTGGCTGTGACGTGAGTTACAGAAGGCGCTATATAAATGCAGGTCTGGCTTCACAAGTGGCATGCAATGCAATTCAATCCAATCGATAGCTTGCCCCGGTATAATGATAGCTGAACAAGAGGGAATGTTGTCAAAGATGAATGAAGATAGGGGTCCCTTTAAGCGTCCCCCCTGCCTTCCCCCCTTCCTCTTGCCTGAATGCATGACCACAAGATGAAGGTTTTGTGTGTGTGTGTGTGTTTTTTTTCCGCCCATCATCAGGCTGAGAAGCCGCCAGTAGGTGGTGCTTCGCTGACGGGCTGGGGGAAGGCAGAAAGGAAAGGGGACACGGGGCAGGGTTTTTTTTTATTTTGATTAAACCGCCGAACGTTTTTTTTTTAATTTCTTCCCCCCCCACCCTTCCCTTTTTTTTTGCAATTTGTGCCTGTGTAGGGAGGGAGGGAAGGAAGGAGGGTGAGAGAGCACTGTTTGCTTTCGAGATGTCTGCGACTTGTCAGCAAAGTGAATGTCGAGTGATCCCCACCAGGAGAGTTACCCTGAACGATGCAACGCAGCTACCTCATGACTACTGCACTACCCCAGGGGGGACCCTGTTCTCCACCACTCCCGGAGGTAAGACAAATGCACAAATCTGCCCACACCCCCCCCCCCCCCCCAAAAACCGGAACGTCTGCAACCTTTCCCGTGTGTGTGTGCATTTCATGCAACGAACAAAAATGCTGTTGGCCTGCTGCTTTGCACAGGCAGGATAATGCCTCCCTTCTGCATACAAAGTAGGGAAGGCTTTAACCCTGTTTGCCATACAACAACAAAAAAATACCAATTAACTCTGAGGTGCAGTATATGCATTAAAAATCGTCTCGCTGCGGTGGATCTCCGCTCGCATTGCTCCATTTTTTTTTGTTGTACGCCGATTGAGAAGCTTGAACCTCGTGTTGCCCACAGAGCGGGGTTGACTTTTCTATTTTAACAATTATCTACGTGCACATATGTATTTTTCTTAAATAAAGCACCGTGATAAAGTCGAGTCGAAGTGAAAATGCGTGAGAACGCCTTGCAATGAGTTGGTTGAAAGACACACAAAAGCAGGACTTTTAAATTTTTTTTGCTACAATTTCAGTTCAGATGTTGCTAAATTTCCGCTTTGCTGTGAGTTATTATTGCAGAGCATACTTTATAATTCTGATTTGCAATATAAAGAGATTTTATAAAGGCATTACTGGTTAATTTTTTTTTAGAAGTGGAGGAGGGGAACCTGACTGTTAAGACATTATTCACCACCCCCGGGTTGGAGTTCATATTTGAGACTCGTCATTTGCGTCACGTTATTTCCAGTGACAGCAGCGCCCGCCTCCTCTTTCCTTCTAATTCCCTTCTACTCCGGTTGTGCCTATTTAATACGAAGTTTTGCCGGCCTGTCGGATTGTTTTTACCCCTCCACGCACTCTGTCCCCAGTTTCTGCCTCTTTTGCAAGTCTGAGGATGGTCCTAGATTCAACCCAGCAATTGCACACTGCACCTCATTCCCAAATATAAGAAGGAATGCAGCATGTTGCAGCCAAACCAGAATAGGCAAAACAGAAAATAAAGTCAAGGCAGAAGCAACTTGAGCCCTCTCCTTGAGTTTAGGAATAGACTTTGCATATATATGTGTGTGTGTGTGTACACGTACGTGTGTGTATATATATATATGTATGTATGTCGTTCAGCCAATACAGTGTTACAATTGAGTAAAAACCAAAAGAACCGTGGATTCTGTAAATCAGAAATAAAAACGGAAATTGCTGGAAAAGCTCAGCACCTACTGAGCTTTTCCAGCACTTTTTATTTTATATTTGAATAGCCAGGAACAGGACTGCCACTTTCTCATCTTTAATTCTTTAATTTGCTCATTAGACGTGAGTGTCAATGGCGACACCAGTGTTCGTTTCCCATTCCAAATTTCCCCGAGAGCAATTAAGAATCAACCACATTGCTGTGGATCAGGAGTTACACGTAGGTCCGGTGAGGTAAGAATGGCAGACTTAGTTCCCTAAAGGAGGTCAATGAACTAGATGGATTTTTTTACAAGAATCCATGATAGGTTCAAGGTCTCCAATTTAAGATCATAGAATCACTACAATGTGAAAACAGGCCCTTCGGCCCAATAGGTCTACACTGACTCTCGGAGCATCCCACCCAGACCCATCTCCCTACAACCCACCTAATCTACACATCCCTGAACACTACGGGCAATTTAGCACGGCCAAACCACCTAGCCTAAACATTTTTGGACTTAAATGGCTTTTATTTGCAGATTTTTAAAAATGAATTTAAATTTGACCTTGGCATTTGAATCTGTATTATTTTGGCGCTCTGGGTTACGGGTCCAACTTCAATACTGCTTTGCCACCGATGCACCAGTTGCTACAAGCAGTAATGTGATAACGACCAGAGAATTTCTGATTCACGTATTGGCCAGAGCTCCCCAGCTCTTTGACATGGCTCTGTCAGTGCTGGTCTCCCTCAGCACTGCAGTGAAGTGTTTGGCAGTTGGATTTTAGCCTCAAGTGGGGCTTGAACCTGTGACCACATGACCCAAGAGGCAAGAGCCAAGGCTGATAGCAGTTAATCAGTGTTGGTAAAGTACTCCTGTATAAAGCCCATCACATTCAGTACGTTGTCTCATAGTCAGTATACCTTTTGAGAGGTGCTCCTGACTATTACGTGGAGACGCCGGAATTGGACTGAGATGCACAAAGTCAGACGTCACACGTCACCAGGTTATAGTCCAACAAATATTTAAAATCACAAGCTTTCAGTGCTGCTCCTTCATCAGATGTAGTGGACTATAATCTGGTGTCGTGTGACTTCTGACCCTGATTATTGTCACTGTGTATCATAGCTCATTACCAAGGGTATAAAGATCTCATTCTCCATTTTACCTTGATTCACTTGATGCATCTGTAACCTGGAATGTTTATAGCACCCCAGACACTCGTGTCTGAGCAATGCAATGTTTGCACATAATCTTTAGTTGTGATAAATGGCTGTTGTACTGTTCAGTATCCAGGCCTGGTTTCTTATGTAACAGAAGATAACGTGAGCTTTGCCATATTAAGTAAAACATCCTGTTGGAGGCAAGCTCTCTTGCTCTACTGTGTATTCCTTTCCAAAGCAACCCAGGTATGGAGAACTTGGATGGGGTAAGGGATTAACACATAGGAATGTATCAACTGTGATGAGCTGAATCCCAAACACTGGGAAAGCTGAGCAAGATTGTGAATCCTGCTGCAGGAGTTTAGGAATTACGCAAATAGGTGGCACAGTGGCTCAGTGGCTAGCACTGCTGCCTCTGTGCCAGGGACCCAGGTTCAGTTCCAGCCTCGGGTGACTGTGTAAACTCCACACAGGCATTATCCCTGTGTCTGTGTGGGTTTCCTCTGGATGCTCAAGTTTCCTCCCACAGTCCAACGATGTGCGGATTGGGTGGATTGGCAATACTAAATTGCCAATAGTGTCTAAGGTGGGATGCTCTTCGGAGGGTCAGTGTGGACTCAATGGGCCAAATGGCCTGCTTCCATACTGTAGGAATTCTGTGATTCCATTCTGTGATCCTACACAAAGGAGATGGGCTGTTGGGATGTGTCCATATGTTATGGAAACAGCCAAGGATTAGAGTATTTCAATTAACACCTTTCTGTCTAAGGCCAATCTGAAACTCCCAAGTTCAGGATAGCCAGATGGAACCTTGGGGTTGGGAATTCTTAATACAGCCTTAATTCAAACATGGACAAAAGAGCTGAATCAGAGGGTGAAATCAGGGGGTCTGTCCTTGACATCAAGGTTCCATTTGACCAAGGCATTAAGAAACCCCAGCAAAACTAGAGTTCAATGGGAATTGGGGAAAATTCTCCACTGGGTTGGAGTGAGAACCAGCACAAAAGAAGGTGGCTGTGGTTGTTGGAGGTCTCTCAGCTCCAGGATCTCTCTGCAGGAGTTCCTCAAGAGAGAGCCCTAGGCCTAACCATCTTCAGCTGCTTTAATCAATGACCTTCCGTCCATCCTAAGGTCAGAAATGGGGATGTGTTCACTGATGATTGCATAATGTTCAGCACCATTCAAGACTCCTGTGATACTGAAGCAATGAACAAGACCTGGACAAAATCCAGACTTTGGTTGTCAAGTGACAAATAATATTTCTGCCACAGAAGTGTCAGGCAACGACCATTTCCAACCAAAATTACACTTCCCATAGCCCTTTGAACTTGAGTGACATTACTTTGTCACTGAAACCCCCACTATTAACATCCTGGGGATTAGCATGGACCAGAAACCGGACCAGACTAGCCCTATAAACTTTTTTAGCTATAAGAGCAGGTCAGAGGCTAGGAATTTCTGGGAATAATAACTCATCTCTACAAGGCACAAGTCAGGAGCAGTAACCACGCTCAAAGCCGAATGCGTTCAGAACAAAACAGCCAACTTTGTTGGCTCTCTTTCCCCCCACAACGTTCAACATTCACTCCCCTTTCCTACTGACTCTCAATAGCAGTATTGAGTACCCTCTCCAAGATGCACTGCAGAAATTTACCAAGACTCCTCCAACAGCACCTCCCAAATCTGAGGCTTCTACCATCTAGAACACCAGCCCCCTCAAACTTCTCACAAAACTGACTTAGACGTATATCACCATTAAATCCTGCAACTCTCTCTGTATCAGCATTGTGGGTGTACTTCCAACCTAAGGACTGCAGCATTTCAAGAATGCAGTTCATCACCTCCAGGCAATTAAAGAGGGATAATAAATGCTGGCCTAACCAGCCATGAACAAATAAAACAAACTTCAGATCCTCCTGCTGTTTGTCCCGGAAAAACTGATGTCTTAACCCATCCCCAAAACCGAACCAGTCACACTCGAACCTAGCAGTCAAACAGAACAGCTCTTTGATCTTTAACCCTCTTCACCATGATGCTCAGTTACACACAACATCCTGCCTTGAAATTCCCATTACTTTCTGTTTGAGAGTTAGTTACTTTCTAGCTATAATCTGCAGACAAACCCTCGCTGCCTGAGCTTGGGGTGGCTGCCACTTTCGCAACCTTCGCTGTCCTTCCTTCAACTTGTCTACTGTTGACACCTTCACCCACTCTGTTGTTACTTTCAGAGTCACCTCTGCTCTACAGGCTGTCATTTGAGTTTCCATCCTCTGTAAATATAGACCACGTGAAAACTCTCCTATATCCTAACTTGTGAAACGGGCGAACAGCGCTGAGTACCTCTGTACTCACTGATTTATACTGCTGTACAGGGGCCCAGCATCTCCCCTTTAAGAATGCTTATATGTTCAAACCCCTTTGTGGTCTTGCCACTCCATTTCTAACCTCTTAGAAATCAGCTCTGAGACCGCGTCTGTAGTGCCGTGTACATTTTCTTCAGATTCCATATTTCAGAAAGAACATTGTTGAATGAGAAGCAATTCAGAGAATGTTCACTCGACAGGTTGCTGGGATGTGCGGATTATCGCATGAGGAAAGGTCAGACAGTTTTGACCTGTTCCCATTGGAGTCTCGAAGAATGAGAGATGATCTTATTGAAATTGGATAAGATTCTGAGGGGTCTTGACTCGGGT